TATTTCTTTGCTGCCAAATTTCTCAAAATTCTTTGTCGAATTTTCCGAAACAAACGAAATATGCTATCTCCGTCAGTTTGGTTTTCCTAAAAATCACTCAACATCACACGCGCTGATCATGATTCATTTGCTTAATAAAACTGGTCTGCAATCGTCCAACATAAAACCATTGTAGGTATCTTTCTAGATCATCCTAAAGCGTCTGATACCATCGATGATGACATCCTATTCACCAAGCTGGAACGGTATGGTATTTATGATACCCGTCAGGATGCGGCCCTGCACTGGATAAAAAGCTACTTTCTTGTCGCAATTAATTTGTTCAATTCAATCAGCAAACCTGTTCTTCAATGCAGACCATAAAATGTGGTGTACCGCAAAGTTCCATTCGTGGCTCTTTGGTTTTCTTACTTTACAAAAACGATTTCCCAAGTTCTTCATTATTGATGGAGCCTCTGCTATTTTCTGACGATACTAGTTCTCACTCCAAACCAAATAAATTAGAATCTGCAATAAATAACGAACTAAAAAATATTGAAGTTTCGCTAAGATTTAGCAAATAATCGGTGAATATAAAGAAAACGACTCATCTCATTTTCAAACCTCGGCAGAAGAAACGTAACCTCATCTTTTCTATCTCCACTGGCGGCCAACTTTTAGCACAAACCAGCGTTACTAAATTTCTTGGGGCATATATTGACGAGCACCTTACTTGCATGGACAAATTTTAATATCATTTGGAACGTTATTCAGGTTCCGGTTCTATCTATCTTCAAAAACTAAACTCACTTTGTACCACTCGCTAATTTACCCGTAGATCAACTATTGTCACTCTGTCTGGTCGTCTACATACGTAACTAAGTTAAATAAAACTTATTGTTTGCTTTTCCATCTTCATTGGCTCCCGATTAGTTACAGTATAAAGTTTAAGATTTTACTTTTAGCAATTAAGTGTTTATACGGTCTCGCTCCTAATTATTTGATTGATTTAATTAGCATCAAAGAGCAATCCACGTACTCTCTTGGTCAAACGAGTCTTTATTACTCGAATTACCTAACACTAAGACCCGTCCAACTCTTGGCGATCGTGCCTTCCAGTCAGCTGCACCTTACCTCTGGAATGCATTACCTTCCACAATTCGCAACATAAAGACATTGGACACTTTCAAGACTGCTATCAAAACTCATTTTTTTAAATTTAGCTCTACAAATAGTTTTAACTAGTTTTTACTGGTGATTTTTCCCTTCGAGTGCATAGGTTCGTAGGTTTTAATGGTTTCTTATATTTTTAGTTATTTTTAACATAATTTTACCTTACGCTCTTGTGAAGCGCGAGTGAATACATAGAGGTCTGCGTTATATAAATGTAAATCATCATTATTATTACAAACAGGCTGTGCGAGCTATTACCATTTCAACCTATAGAGCATATATTCTCCATTACTCTCCAAATTAGGAGTTTTAGAAAATTATCATATGAACACGATTCAAATGGTTAAATCTATGTACATGTACTGTTAGCATAATAGAGTTTTTTACTAAAATAATTACTGAATTGGCAAAGCTTTACACATATAGAACAATCTATGTAAGCAAATTGTCACGTACGAGATGGTCTTAGCTGAAAGCCTGGTGGTTTCTAGAGGTCAACTCGCCATACATTGAACTATGCAGACATTTTTTTAATGTATTCGGAAAAAAGGCAAATAAAGTCAAATTTCAAATTTCAAACTTCAAGCTCTAGGCATTGGAGAAATAACAGTATCCTTTGTACAACGCGCAATAATAAGTATGAAAAAGTCATTCAGTTCTAATTGGCTAAGAAGTGTTAAGTTCTCATGGATCACGGGTGTAAGTTTTGAAACTTATTAAATCGTTTTGTTCTTTGTTTGTTTTTAGTCGCGCGTATGTATTATAATGAAAGGGCTGATAGTTTCTAAAGAAACTGTTATTGGCTGCGTCGGTGGGGGTAACGAAATTTTTTGAATATATCAACAAAGTTGTGTTAAAGCTGTGTTATATCAACAAAGTTGTGTTATATTTGATCATATGTAAATGGAATTTGCGCACCACAAATATTAAACTATTATTATATTATTATTATTATTATTATAGTTGTGATACTCATCAAATTCTAGCTGTTTTTCTTTGCTTGTGTTGGATATTCAGGAGTGACGATTGGAACTTGGTGCAATGATGGCGGCCTTACTTTTGCTCTAGGCGTTTCTCTGGATTTCTATCATCTCAAAGTGCTTTCTCAAATTTATTATCGGTTCTAATCTTCTTCAGCTTAGCCGATATTCTTTCTTAAGAATAAATTCTATTCGTTTGTCCGTTTGTGTTTTCACTTGGGTCGCTCAAATATCGTTCTGAAAGAAGTTCCTTTATCTTCACGTACTTTGCTCTTGTCTCTCTTCGACTCAGACCCTAAAACTTACATTTAGACTTTTAAACGAGCGAACATCGACTAAGAAGATCAAGTTCATCATCCACCCACGCAAACTCCTTAGAAGCCGCTATATTGAAAATGCGTGAAAATAAACCACTATTCGAAGTGAATAGCATTTTCAACACCAAACCTCTTTGGCAGGCCGTTGCGGTAAGGATCTGCTGGACTGTGTGAACGAATTGTTCCAGTTCTCAGCCGTTTCTGTTCATACCAGGCTGGAGTATTTTTCATGTTGACATATAATAAGCTGTCCAGTATATTCTGCTTTAAACTTTGTAATGAAAGAAAGTGTAGGGCAAGGTATAGCAATATGTCTTAATCAGGCTAATTCGATAAAACAAGAGCAAGAACACTATCTCTAGTTAAAGAGAAAATGTAAAATTGCTTTGCGATACGTTGGCTTGGATTTTTAGCGTTCAACTTGCTCCGAGGGCTGGGAAAGAACACAGAAACTGGAGCTATCTTTAGAGTGTGACGAATTGGTTGGGGGAGGGGATTTTTCCCAATATAACGAGGATATTTGTAAAGACTAATTATGGGTTATTGAGTCATTCGCGCATCAAATGGAAAGTTGCTAGGGCATTTATGAACTTGACTAATGTAGAGTGTTGTCCTCTTGAGCTATATAAAAAATACATTTTTCACGTTTCGCATGAAGTCGGCGGCGATGCATTTTATTAACGCGGTTTGCTAAGGCCAAATGGGGAAACTTTAGGAAATGTGGTAAAGAAATTTATGAAAAAAGTGTGGTTCGATGGGCACTACACTTATCACTCTCTTCGGCATAGTTGTGCTATACGATTGTATGATGTTGGTGTCCCAGAGCAACTTCTCCAAGAAACTACTAGTAATTGGACTTCCGTTGGGGTAAGAGAATATAGATGTGCGTCATCAACGCTTAAAAGGGACGCAAAACGAGATTTTGCTGGGTTCTCTTTCAAAAAATTGATGTCAAGAGAAAAATGCTTTCGGGTCGTCCTTATCTGTATGGAGGGGTAGATATAATGGTGATTGTAAAATCAATAACAAATCGATACCAGCACTAAAGATTGACGTTTTGCGGTAGTAATTCATATCTACAAACGGCTCCCCATACAGAAGATCTCAGTGTAAGACTGAGCCAAGTTAGATGCAAGTAGAACATTGAACGATTTTGTTTCATGAAATGCAAACTTTGGCTGAAATAATTTCAAAAGCTACCAATAACCATTGGAATTATTCCATGAAGGTCGATATCTAAGTTTTTCCTGAGGCTTGTCACCTTCGACAACTATACTAGGTGAGTGTAAAATTTAATTTCATAAAGTACTGTTTTTCCTGCACTTCATCTCATGATGCCTAAGCATTCTTAGAAGTCATAACTTAAGATTCCGTAGCGAGGCCTCCACGTACTATACCTTCATCTTGACCTACCTTTTGGTCACATCTCTCAGGTATTTGGCGGTTTCACTGTGACCATTGGCTAAAGCCACATATTCTGGTAAAAGCAGTCTTCCTTTGTATAGATCAAATGCTGTTCTTCCCGCGGGCTGGTCAAAGATGAGTCGAATAAACCAAAGAGCGTTTACTTTAGCTGCTGCATAGATGAACCTACGCAGGAGCTGAGCTGACAATGAAGATATTTCTCCACCAGAAGACCCTAGGATCGTTGAGAAAATTCAAAACCTTTCATCCATGATTTCCAAGTAAGGTACTTTTGAAAGAAATACAATCGTTTAGAACAGTGAAAAATCATGGGACAGATCTTCCAGGTTCTGTCCATGTTTCAGCATTTCGTTTTTGTTTCTCGCTTTGTTTGTTGGTTAGTCTGCTTTACTCTGTTTTGGGAGCTATTAGTGTCAGTCAGAACTTTTTACTCAGGTTTGATCGACAGTGCAAAGTATTGTTGAATGACGATTTAAAAAGAAAGGAATTCCACATCCTTCTGCTTAGTACTTCAACTCTCTCTGGGACTTGTTCTAACTCATCCACCCAACACACTTTCCAATTTGTTCGCTGAATGTTAAGGCTATAGCCGTAGTTTTTTAGCCTGGCGACATCACTGGAAGACCAAGTTTTTCTTTAGCGCAACTTGCAAATTCCAACAATTTTCTTAGATTTAACTTGATACAATGAAACCAACGTTAAGAGTCAGCTTTCCTTATTTCTCGACATTTCGGCTTGTTTGAGGTCACACAACTTGAAGGGATTTTTGAGGAAAAAAAAGGCGACGGGGAGTATGAGATAAAATACCTACCAGCATTTGTAGAACTTGCTGTGTTGCTACTACTTCTACCGGAAAATTCATTCAGGGATGGAATGGCAGCCTCAAGGAATTTCCGCATTGTCTGGGGGTCACTAACTGCTTGTTTCAATGCCTCTTCTATTAAATCTATGTATGTAATTGTTGTCTCCCCCAAGCACTCTTTACGGTATGGCGAGTAGACTTTTACTTTAAAAACCCCTTCTTTAGGTGAGTCTGCAACATTTACGAATAAAAATGCTCTAAATAGCCTATTCCAATTGTATACAAAGTAAGTAGTCTCTAAAGTGAGAAAGCTTACATTGCGTCCTTCCAGGCAGAAATTATAGTTTAGAGGGTACAATGATTTGGAAAATTAACTTGGCCATGTATTCACTTGTAAACCACATTCCAGATGGAAGAGTAATACTTTAATATGTTAAAAAAATTCTGTATTTCCTATCAATATTGTGAGCAAGTTTCCAGGATGAATTTTCGGTAGGTAGTTCAAAATCAGATTGTGTGTTTCCATTTTCTTAAGATACCAAACCAATACATATTTTCGATCACCTCACAAGGTATACCACTTTAAACAGGTATTTCATATTAGGAATGTAAATAATAAATACCCAGAGTCAGAGATTTTAATTTTTGACCTATACTTTCTCAAGTGCATCAAACCGCATCTAAAATATCCTATCAGGGAAGACATACTTACATGGGAGAGTATTTCCCCCCAAGCTGCTTTCATTCAATTTTTTTACGGGTACTCCCGTTGTTAACTCTTCAAAATCAACTATTCCGGATTCCATCTCTTCAGGAAGCTTTCCGTTAAATTCAATTTTAAATGGCGCACCATTCTGAACCTAGTAAATGAAAATAATTTGAAACATTTTTTAACCTTTGTGAAGGTAAATAAGTCATAATAAATTCCAAAGTAACATTATTCCAAATAAAGCAGGTAATTATGAAGTAATTCATCAGTTTACTTGTAACGGTAAAAGGAATGAATGGAGCACAGCTCTGGCGCTAATTGGGCGAGCGATTTTGAAGTTACGCGCATGTTTTCCCATAGCTTGTACAAAATGAAGTCCGATTACCAATTAATAAGAAGATACGAGACTCAGAAATGAAAAATTTAGTGTAAGAGCACATACCATTGCTACTGATACTGAATGAAGGTCATTGGACCAGTTAATTTCGTTCATGTTTTACTATGTTAAATGTGGACTTCTCAACCTGTTCACTTAGAAGTTTTCGTCATTTTTTAATTGACTAGCATTGGTTAGGTAGTGGAGTTTTAATGTCTATGTAACTGTCAGTCGAGTTAAAGTGTTTGTAATCGAACGGGTAAAATCGGACACTGAGTTTGGACTTGAAACAGCCAACTAAGCCACAAATAAGGGCTTTTAAGAACCAGTCATCACCATAATCGAGCCTTTGTTATTTCCACATTTAATCTCTTTTATCGGATGACAGGGCACAATATGAACAACGTCAGCAATTGCAATCTTTTTTGTCCAGCTTTACCTTGTTCGCCTCAAGTCTAAAGTCGTGATTTCTTAGGAACAAAGTGGATCCAGTGTTAGAAGAAAAAAAAAGGATAGGAGACCTACCAAAACTTAGGTTTCAATTGTTAGTACAACGTTAAAAAAAAAACAACAATTCTTATGGCTCGCATTGGATTTGTAAAGTGGTGACAGCGAACTTTAAAGCAAACATAAATATGATACCTTCAAAAGAACGACCTGTGGAGTAATGCGTTCCACACGGATATGTTCTTGACCACGCAAGTGAAGTTGGTTTTCAGGCAGCGACAAATCATCTGTGAAATGTGATAACCACAAGAAGGAAGGATAGGAAGTCAATAGACAATTAAATTGATCAAAGAAAGGTAAGTTAATCGTAAAGCATAGTCAAGTCTTCCACAAACAAATGTTCAGTCAAGAAATATGAAAACCATGATAACCTGATATTTTTTTTATCATGTTGTGATCAACCACTTTGGAGATCCAAATACTGACTAAAGCATTACAGAAGCGACAGTGCCACAACTAAACTATACTTCCGTTGCCTTTCGCTGTTTATGCATTTCTCACTGGGCCCTTCGATCCTGAAATATGTCGGATTTTCGCAGTATAATCAAGTTCGCACAAAAGCAGATTTGGGGAGATTTAGTGCAAGAATATGTTTTAGGCAAGTGGGTCACCCAAAACTTCAAGTCACTGAAGTAGTGTGACGATAGGTTTTCACGTGAGAAACTGAACTTTCGCGGACGGCAAAATAATCAGAACGGGGGGAACTAGATTTGTAGAGCGACTCGGCAGCGAGAACGATTCCCTGGTACAGGCGACCTCTTCGAGTGGGCTTTTATGAAAGTCAAGGATGAGACAACCTTTTGGTTCCATGGTAACTTTATTCTAGGTCAGGCCAACAAGTGACATGACCTCTAGCGTACTCAAGTTGATAATCGAGGATGTAATCAACGATGTAATCAATAAAGCTTTAAAACGTACTTGCTTAAGAACTCTCGAGCGCGTGGTTCTATCGTTCTCAAAATGGACAATATTTGAATTAGATCACAACGGGACGGAAAAAGTCTCTGAAGTTAAATGATTTTCATCTAAATACTCATATGTCGAAATTGGAAGAGCAGATTCAATAAACTTTAGGCAATTAAAAATAGGAAACTTAGGCGAGAATTCACAGCTTTGATATTGAAAATATACCCAAGGCAATTTCAATAGAGCAGTTTATAAAATAGAATGGAAAATACAATTAAAAGTTCCTGCTTATATAACTGAGCAAGGTTGGTGTTAAGTTTGATCGTATGAAAGGAAATTGAAGTTACGAGTATAAACTCTGCAGCCAACTACCATGAGAACCAATTTTGCCAGAAAGACCATTAACACTTATATTTAGCTAAAATTGCGCTAGAATTGAACAAGAAAAGTACCTATAAGCAACTGCACAATGAAGACAAAGTAACAATGCAAAATTTATTTGCAAAAATTGCTTTGGCTTTTTTATATTTTTAAAACATCACAATTGAAAGAAACTCGCATGAATTGAGAACGCTAAAATGCCGAAAACAACTAATAAATATGCCTGAACAACCACAAGGAAAAATCGCTAAATTTTCCCGTGAAATGTAGGCTGATGACCTTCTGATCGTCCGGGTGAATGTAGTCCTGAAGACTGTTCTCGACAGTGGTGACTTACGTTTCGACAACCACTCGGGTTGTCGAAACGTCAGTCACCACTGTCGAGAACAGTCTTCAGGACTACATTCAGACTCCAGCGAATAGTTGTTATCAGTCGAATGAACTAAGTTCGGCTCGTGTGAACTGTTCGGTCAGTTCAGCCAAAGTGCTATTGACTGTAAGACTCAAGTAGCAACAATATGCAACTCTTCACGATTTCGAAAATTTTTCTCTAACCCACTCAAGTATGGAGTCAAATATGTGACAAAATTCATCGATAAAAATGTGTCAAATCTGTTGCTCAAACTTGGTATTCAAAATGTCGAAGTAATCAAATCGATAGTCATCTCCGTCAAACAAACTGTCAAATCCGTTAATCGAAGTTCCAAGTAATCAAATGCAAACTCAATGTCATCAAACGTATGCGGACTCATCGGAAGCAGGAACCCATCGTACGAAAACCCNNNNGGGTTTTCGTACGATGGGTTCCTGCTTCCGATGAGTCCGCATACGTTTGATGACATTGAGTTTGCATTTGATTACTTGGAACTTCGATTAACGGATTTGACAGTTTGTTTGACGGAGATGACTATCGATTTGATTACTTCGACATTTTGAACACCAAGTTTGAGCACAGATTTGACACATTTTTATCGATGAATTTTGTCACATATTTGACTCCATACTCAAGCACTACTCGCACTTGTGAACCAATTTGTAATGTTGACCTGGTCGAATTACGCCCGCTTTCTTTCATCAGGAAATAGTTGCACCGAGATGCCTTATTTAAAGATCGATTATCAATATGACGATTTCTTGGCTAAAATGGCCAAATATCTGTCTAGGTTTTTCTTTTCTTTTCTTTTTTTTGCGTTTCTTTTTCTTTTTTTTTTTTTTTTTAACGTTTTGATGAACCTTAACTTTGTCTCAGTCTTAACCCGACTATTGGAAAAAAGCGGACATCCTCGGCATACCATATGTATGATTTCTCAAAATAAGTTCACCATTCAAAGTTAAGCTTAAAGTTGTGTAGGGAGCAATTCTAGAAAATTTCGAATGTTCTGGAGTATTCGCAGTGGAAAGACTTGGTATACTCTCAATTGCTGACGGAGAACTTTGTTTTAACCTTTTTTCTGGTAGCGCCGATTATTTTAAAAATAGAGAGCGAAAGAAAACTGTGAGGAGATCTAGAAGAGTTATCAACTGGCGGATAATGTTTGACATAAATACAACTTTGCAGGACAAGTCAACCAAAAACGTTTCACTATTTGTCATATCTTGGAAGTTAAAGACTGAGAAAACAAGAAATAAAACGATTACATAATTTTACGTAATTACCTCTTCCAAAATCGATGAAATTTTCTGATATTCCACTAGAGGTAGAGCCTTCAGATATCTCATCAACAACACTTTCCTACAACAAATATTTGGTACTGGTTCAACTGCCTAATCTTTGGCTTAGTAAAACCAGTAAATACTCCTGGAGAAGACTGAGGAGCTGAGCTAGTGAATTACGAGTTTTATTTTATCAAAACAATACAAATGATTGTCTATCTTTGGGTGACTTTGCAGTCGCTGTCAAGCTCTTTCTATTCTTTCTTCACACCATTCCTAGGAGGTAACCTCCTAGATTTCTGATCAATTGTATCCTCCCGCAAGCATTACTGATATTTAAAATCAATAAGAATAAAATATCTTGGCAATTTATTAAATCAAATCAGTTAGCTACTGTACATCGAAGAAACCGCTACCTCATTCATATGGCGTGCTTCTGCTGACATAGAATCTGCTGACATAGCACTGGTACTCGAGAATGAACTTGAGGTGCTGACCACTGGAGCTCCGAGTTGACCACAGGCATTACTGATTCGGTTAACTGAGAAAAGTAACACGCGATTTGAATGTAAGTTTTAGAGAGAACATGCATTGCCTCTCTGCTTCCGGACACTTTTAAATATTGAATTCCAAATTCCTAATACCGCGGTCAGAATAGCAAAAGCAATCATGTTTACATGCTAAAGGTTCTCCATCAGAACAGATTTCTAAATGTTGTTCCAAATCTTTCCTCAAGCCTATCGTCAAGGACATATGATTTATTTAGATGTCTTCTGTCCTCGGTTTCCTCTTCTAAGGAAAAAGGGTCAAAGAACAGCGTTCAGTTCTAGTCTAAGAAGAAATTGAATTTAGCAGAGTGGTTCTGGCCACATTGAGAGTTACAAACTCACAACCGCTCAAAACTTCACTTCACTGGTGGCGTTCGTTCCTTCTCCCACTGGCGTTCGTTCCTTCCGGCCCATTTACGTTGGCCTATTGTCTAGCCAGTTAAATGTACAGTAAAGATTTTTTAATTATTGTCTGGGCCTACCTCTCATCGTTCCAAAAACTTCTTCAAAAAATCTTTTCAGCGCATTATGTCTTTCCTCTAGCAAAACTACTCGCTCCCTCAACGAATCGATTCCATCCGAAATAGCCATAACGATGGATGAAAGCCTTCTCGTGTTTTCAACCACGTTAATAAGCAATTCATCATGTTCCTCTAGTGTATCTTTCATTGCTTCTTGGTTTTGGAAGAAAGTGTCTACGAGGTCACTCATATCTTTGGCTATGATCAGCTCCCAGCCTTAAGTCGACAAAATTAAGATGGTTGACAAAATAACATAAGGTAAAATATTTATTAGAAGTTTCATGGAAGATAGGCAAGTTTGATCTGAGGCTGGAAGGAGCTTGTCTTAATCATCCTGGTCCGCACCCTGTTTGGCAAGATTGCTAGTCGGGTTTGTGCCCTGTCGCACCCCAGCCATTGACGAAGTCTCCATGGCTGGAGGGTGGTTGAGTGACAAGAGCATTGGTTTGGGAAAGGACTCGGTTGACATTGCAAACATCTGTCAGCCGGGTTTTCCGCTGGCCGATGAAAACGCAGAGAGTTTAACGTCAAGGTAAGCACCTGGCTTATTCAAGGAGGGGTTCCAAAAGGCTCTGTGCTGGGATCGAGGGTGGGGAGGATAGGTTTTTATGGACTCAGGGTTTTCTCTGAGGCTGGACTTGACTTGCAAGCCAGGTTCGTGCCCTGCCACTGCCCAGCTACTGGGTGAACACCCTGTAGTTGGAGGGAGATTGAGAATCCATAGCAGCAAGATTTGGGGAGGTTGCAAACATCTGCTCGCCAGGTTTTCGCTCGAGGTAAACCACGGGTTTATTCCAAGGTGGGTTGCTAACACCTGTTATTTAAAACTCAGGGGTGGAGAGGGTAGGTTTTAAACTTAGAAGCTAATAGGGTTTGCTTTACAGATTAAAGTGGCTTCCTGAGAGAAGTATTTTTTACTTCAAATTTTCTTATATGATGAATGATTCTAAATATAATCTGGAGAAAAAACTTGATATTTCGCTAGGTATCATGAAATTTAAGGAATTTCATGGAATTAAGGAGTGTATCTAAAGGCCATCTTGAAGAAAAACTGTTTTAAATCTGAGCCAATTTAATGTTACACAAAATTATTTTGCAAATGCACAAAGAAAACGGTAATAAAGATTTTCAGCGCAGTTCGCAAAATACTATTCTAATCTGACAATTTTATCCCAAAAAAGATGTAATTTCCCTCATCGTATGTTGGTCTGATTTGCCAAGTTTCAGATCAAAAGAATATATCTTCCCCGAGATAATGCTGTTGCAGTGGCATGACACGATGATGCTGCTCGAATCAATTTTCGATAAATGGCAATATCTTCAGAAGAATCTGTCAGAGAGCCTATGTTTACTTTCCTTCCTTTAGCTACCATTTTAGGTAAGCCTATGATAAATGGCTGCATCGGTAAAACGAAAAATAGCGCGATTTAAATGGTTATAGTCGCCATATTCGTCTAGTTTTTTTTTTTTTTCGCGAAACCAATCAGAATACGAGACTACAAACATCAGAACCATCTGTAACAACGACACCTGTCCTGCGGTGTTGAAACAACTTTGGTGCCCTTGCTGTACGTTGGCGAGAGATGGCAAAGTAACACGAAACTACGCAGTGAATGTTTTAGGCTTCATCTTACTTAAAGAAATTGATGTCGCTTGGCAGGGGGTGAAGAAAAGAAAAGTGAGTCATCAGGAACCGCAAAAAGAGACGAGGTGTGGGCATTCGAAAGTCACAACCTCCAATCTATTTAACGCATCGCGACAAAATAAAATGCCTCAGTGGTTATTTACTCGCTTATGGTGGCGAAGCGCCCCGAAAATTAAAAATATCATCAAAAGTTTGAGAGTAAAAATGCTAACGAAATCATAATTGTGTTTCTGTTGTTTGGAACTGAATATAAGTGGTCAGGTGTAGGTAGAGCTCTTTCCCTTCTTCCATCCATAATAAAAAATCGTTTCCTTTTTCATCACCGAATGGTTATTTATGAAATGGACGAGTCAGAATTGTCATCTAAACGAAATAGCCCGTGAACTGCAAATGTCATTGTCCAAGTATAGTAACTCTATTTTTCCGCGAGATTCGTCCTCCGAAACGAAACTTCTATCGCATATATTTCGAAACCAATCGTCAAATTTTCCAAATGGGCTACTTAAACAATAATCTTTAGGATGCGAAAAAAAATAAAAGCTGTCCGAAAAGGTTTTGTTGGTCTCCGTACCACTTGCTGAACGAAAGATTCGAAAAAAGGTCACCGAATTTTTTGCAACTAGAAAACGCAATCTTAACCGGTTACTGAATTATTAAATTTGAAGTTTTACGCTGGGCTAAATTCTGATCGCGCAGAAAAAATCACAGTCTGACGATCGCTTTGATCCATATCTCACCCGCAGATATCTTTTTAATTTTGCTGCTAGCTGAGGATTACTTTTGATACTGAGGAAACCTTATAACTAAAACAGATAAACCTGTACCATTTGTTTCCCACTGGTGAAGTTGATCCAAAGTACGCTTCTCTTGATCGGCAGGTAACACAAGAGCCTCAACTAAAGCCACGAGCTTTTCGAAGCACTGATGTATGAAAAGTTCTGTCCAGATACTCTCATCATAATGAGCACCAAGATTTCTAACATTATTCTTGACATCATCGGCCAGTAATTTAAGATCTAGGAAAGGATTTGACGAGACAAATACTTGGGTGGGGTATTTGTCATACCCTAGAAGGCGAAGAACAGCGCTCATATCCATGGAATTGTCAAATGCCGCAAACTTTGCAAGGTAAGCAGGAAGATATAGCTTGGCAAGATCCACCGGGCTGTTCACCGCGTAGTTGTAGGTCGGTTTGGTCTTTCCATCATTGTTGTTGATGTTTTTAAATTTTAAGCCTTCGAGGTGAGGGGGAGGTGGGTGACATATTGAATACGTCAATGTATTTAGATTGCAGGGTGGCGAAATATTCAGTAAATGATCATCTAAAAAATGATACAGTTTTACAAATTCTTTTTCCCCAAAATCCCTCAACAATGGAGCTACAATTTTGTCGGCGGCGATCAGAACAACCATCCATCTCTTGTCATTTTCAGAAATACTCATCTTGAGAGAAAATCGCCGCTGATGTAGTAAATACTCCACTAGATCTGAAACAAAAGTAAAGGGATACATAAGCAGTGAATAAATCTAAGGGTAAATGTAAGGTACCTTTTAATCCTTGCATTGATGGAGGTTAAGAGATAATTATGGGAAGAGAGCTGTCCTCTTATTTAGTATCAGAAACGATTTTTCCCGGGAAAACTACCAAAAGCAATGAAAAACGGCCTCTGTCTCTGCCAACTCAAGCTTAATATTAGCACTAGCATCACTTCTATCTATAGTCGAGATCGTATCTTGATCAACATCACTATTATTGTCATCATTGTTATGACTGACAGCAAAATAGTCGGCGGCAAGTCCCCTCTATCCCAGAGTGGTTACTGTGGTCACTGTGGAGTCATGCAGATTCAGCTCTAAACTTTTCAGATAGATTAAGTGGCATTGATGAAATTTTGGGAGGGAGGGAGATGGATCCAGAAAAGAGATATTTAAACCTTAATTACAGTAACAGGAGCATATGCTCCTGACATTAGCTATTATTTATTTTCCTGTTCAATAACTTTGATATACGGCAGGAAAGGGCTCCGACGATTCGAGTGCATGCTGAATAATTTATTGTCGTTAAATCTAACCCGGGATAAAACATTGCACTTTTCATGTCGAGTTCGAAGTCTGACTAGTTTCCATGCCCCTTGCTGGTCCGTGTAGTGTTCTCAAACTTTTGCAAAATCCGAGAGAAACGCAAAGGGCCGGTTATTACAACAAAGTTCATCTGTTGTTCAAGAAAGAAAGGACATTTATTTAATGAAATTAATCCTCTTGTTGAGAATACGTTGGGCCCAATGCTTGCGTAAAACCGCGTGTAAATAACCGAGCCAAATGTTTAAAAAATTTATAACAAAACAATCATTCAGTTTGGTTTTGGCATGATATCTTGAATTATCAAACTTCGTTTCTTTGTTATCTGCATTTGCCTTCGGTTTCGGCAGATAACTCAGGCCTCGGTTTTTGAAATTCATGATATCATGCTCAACCTTATCCAACTTAGTATTATCCAACTGCACCAAATATTGTACAAATAACACGCGAATTGTTTTTGTACATTGTAACATCCCCTTTGTTCTTACAAAATAGTTGGGAAGATTTATGTTTATTTTGGAGCGTTTTCATCAAAACAATTATTCCACCCGCGCTCGTGTTGGACACCCACGAAAACCGATTATTTTCGAGTCCAGTCAATGGCTCAGTCTATTTTCAATTTTGCAATGTCATGGGGAAAAAAGGTTACAGAAATACTGCGTCGTTCAATGTCTAAAGGACTGGGCCCATCGGGAGTAGAGATTGCCTCGGTCCCAGCTCACGCATTCACAGATAACAAAATGGCAGTAGTTAGTTATGTAACTCAATATAAAGAGCATTCCGTGCTTTGACAATAAATATCTAATTTGAACTTGTTTTGAGTTTCTTTTTTTGAAAAGCATACTTTAAGATAATTCAAATGACAATTTTCAAGTCAAGTGTATTTTAAAAAAATGGAGTAATGCTAGCACAATCTGTAAGGTCCAAAACCTGTTACTTGGAAGTTTTATATTGGAATTTCCCTTGGACAATTTGAAGATTTACTTGTACCTTTGTTGTCTTAGAAATAGAACACAGGGCTGCCTTTTCTATCTGGAAAAATTCGCCATATGTTAGGTCAACAGATCCACTCCTAGTGGTGCCCTCCCGTCAATTCCTTCAAGTTAAGTTTCAGCTTTGCAACCATACTTCCCCCGGAACCCAAACACTTTGGTTTCCCGTGGAGGTACCAAAGGGGTCATCCACCCTCTGATCCCTAGTCGGCATCACTTATGGTTAGAACTAGGACCGTATCTGATCTTCGATCCTCTAAAGCTTATTACCTTCCGTGATTATATTTGTTAGCGTGCTCATTCACTACACTTGACTTTACTTCCGGTCTCCTTAAATTTATATTTTACGGATAATTTTCAATTATTTCCGGCGCAAAACAAATTCTGGAGAAGAATCAAGAAATTAGGTTTTGCCTAGTGTTTTCTTGTTCATGGCACGGGCTACACGCGTACAAAGACACGCACGTCCCCCGAACGAAATACGTGGACAATGTCCCTATGACTTCAGGTGGTACTGTAATTTGTCATGCCTGAACTCTGAAGGAAATCATTATAGTGACATATTAATGCACAGAAATTTTCGAAATTTCCACGTTTAACGTTTGCTTTCTTCAGAAAAAAAAGGAAGAAATTATGAAAGCTGAATTTACTTTTATCAGCGGAAAAAACGATAATGTTTTCCTTACGTCGAAATAGCTAAAATGACTGTACAGAAACTCTTACACAGACAAGTGTAAGTGAGCAAGTTTCAAACCACATCGAAACTCAGCCTGACCGAAACTGAAAGCGGAACAACCACCGTTCTTAAATCCCTCCTTCAATAAATTTTGCATAAAATCATTTCAATCAGAATATCAACTCGGCTATTTTACGCTAAGTCTCTATGTTGGCTATCCCAATGTCAGTCTTGTCGGGAAACTAAAGGACAAATTAAATTAATAATCAAAACCGTCGACATGATGCAAATTAAACAATTTACAGCTTCGAGGCGCATTACTCAAAACAACATACGCTCAAAACCGGATTCTCTTGATAAATGTTTTTCGACAAAAGAAAATGACCTAAAGGTCAAGGGAAATCTACCTTCGAATTTCATATCCTTTGTTTACCCGAAGAGGGAAATTTCCCTCATTAAAAATTGATTTTACCTTTTGGAACGGAAAGAAAATAAACCATACCTCGTTGCTTTAATGATGTTGGTCATATTTCCAACGAAAGTTTATCGCTTTCATTTATAAAATTCAAGTTCACTGCCAGCCGTAAAACGGATCAAAATATGAACCGATTGCAGTAAAACAGCAAAAAAAATTACCCTCCAGCCGTAAACTGACCAAAATTTGAACTGTTAGCCGTCAAAGCCATAACTCCATTGAAACCCTCTTAAAACGATCGGAGTCGAGGAAGCATCAGGGCCACTAAAGTAAATATAAACCTACAACGAACTTCAATAGAGAAAGCCTTGTTTATGCGTCTATATATAGCCCTGTTACTTAATTCATTATACTTTTGTAATATGTTGTACAAGGTTGTTCTTGTTTCTGGCATAATGTGTAGTAGCTCGAACAGACAATTCTGCGAGCCAAAGCGAGTTTGATTGCTGAGCAGTTTACAAACTACTCGATTCATGTAATTTCTATTTATGTAGTGGTATGGAAAGCTACTTCTTTTGCCTCCAAATAATTCCTCTACAGGGATTCAAGCTGAAACTGTGCTACTTTTTAAGACTAAGTCCTGTTCTCGGGTGCGAAAGATGGCTCGAAAAAAAGAGATCGAGGTATTTCAAGGAAAGGAAAACAATCCAAGCACTTTCTGCGAAAAAATAAGTCCATGAACTTCTGGGTCTCTGATGAATGGGGTGACGGCTTTACGGCTAAAGTGGTTAAAATTTAGCCATTTAAGGCTAATATCTTTCCATTGTGGTTAACAGAAGTTTTTACGGTTAACTTTTTCTACAGCTAGAAGTTAAAATTTGCCAATTTTTACGCCTGACACCTAATTTTCTTATGCAGTTTTACGGCTAACCCCTTCGAGACCCTGTACCTGGGCTGGAAACCTGAAGCTCATGACACCGGCGGTTGACTTAAACGTTTATTCATTTCTGTAGTCACGGCGGTTTCGAAGTTTCGTTTTCACCCTCTTACGTTAACTCAAATATTGATTTACATAGAAATTCAACATCAGATAATAATGCAGGTCGTCCTCTCGATTTGAGGATGATATCGGTCCAATTCGAGACGATTTGACGCGGCAAACACATCAATGAAAATATGGCCGACACAATTCGATCGCCTCGAACTGGCAAAGGGAGCGACGCCTCGGCCATCCGAAATGTACCTAAACTTACCACTTGATAATCAGCCCTTACAAGTTGAAAACTTCTAGCTTACCAAAAGTGCAACAAATAAGCAAAAACTGGAACGAGCGAAAGGCGGAGGGATTAAATGTCGTAGTCAGACGATGTATTTCACCCACCTTAAAAATCTGGTAGAATGCGGGTGCAATATTCTTGGGACTAACAGAAGAATCAGCGATCAGTTCATGGATAACATGAGATGGTTCACACGTGATACACACATGTTGATTTCGACAGCCAACATATTCAGACCAGGGTTGGAGTTAATGTTATAACTAGTGTAGTAGACTTCCTGACACTATCGAATGGTCGATCATTTCATATCAAAATAAAGAGTCTTTAATCGTAGCGATACATTCATATAAGGTCATGTGCTGACCACGTGATGAGAGAGGCTTTGTTATAAAAGAAAAGATAACAAAAAACGGGAAAGGATGGTATTTACTAAGTCTGTGTGTATATATTTATATGTGTTCTAATAAAAAAAAAAAAAAAGAGAGAAGAAAGAAAACGAGCTTGCTAATAGAATTATTAAAGCTATTCTCGGTTTTCAGCTGACGTCATTAGCTTATGCAAATTAGATTTCCGCCATGTTGGTGCCCATGCGAGGTGTGAAATTGTATGGAAATCTATGCCATTTCTAAGCGCTCGCGTTCAAAGTCTTCAAATAATTCATCTTACTAATGGCGAAAAAATCACAAAAATCACACCCAAAATCACACGATGAGGTACCACTACTTTCATCCTACGTAGATAACCTCGAAAGCCACGTCCGAGAGTGCTATTTGAAGAAAATTTCTGTGGTTGGCGTAGATCCAGCGACCATACCGAGCGAGCAGTTCAGCTCGGAATAGAGTTCTAAAGTGTGACGTCACGCTGTCATGACGACCAAAATTTGGGTCTAAACAAAACTAAGAGATTGAAAGACGGGCGCCATATTTAATTGTGG